GGAATACTAGAAAAAGACCATCTTAGCCGGCGCCAGTTTCCATCTAGCATCTTGGCATTCTACTTAACACAACACCGAAGGATGGCAAGTGTCGTGTATTGCCGCCATCACTGTTTTCAGGTCAGTAAGACCAAGAGTACTACCTTGCCAGCAAGAATACAATTTCACGTAGCTACCTATCTCCTATAGTCTGAAGCAGTATACAAATTCAGTATACGCCCCAGAGCTGTACTTATTTCCCCTCCCCCCACATCAGCACCAATGAAAACGAAAGTACTTCTACTGAAGCACTTCTACTGAAATGAAGCCCTTCTACTGAAAGCAGGGACGTTCCTTGTAGGGTCACTCAAACAGAAACAAAAGCCTCACCAGTTTACTAAAGTACCCCCAGGTTACTTTCAGAAAGTAAACTGTTAACGACTATGTACTAGAAATCATGTCTCCGAGTCTAAGTACCGGAGCACCTGGCCTCATTTTATTCAGTCTGCATGGCAAAGATATCTCAGGTAGACACAGATAGAAAATATGAATATTTCTGCAAACTGCAAAGGGTCATGATGTTATATTAGCCCACTAATTTATAAGTAAACAGAAGGAGGCCCACAGAGATTAATGGAGGTGCCCAAGGTCAAATATCTACCAAGATATTATTTTGACAAAAGATACATCTGGGTTAAAAATCTTGTTTTCCAAATTCCTAGGATAATGAACTTAAATTTCCACCTAATAGCAGAATAAACCAGTAAATTCTTATAACTTAATTTAGTTCTTATTTTTATCTTCAACTCAAAAACCATCACTACCATCCAGGACTTTGTTTAAAAGAAATCCATGTGGTCACAAATTATGATACATTCACAATGCAAATTAATGAAGCCATTTTATCAAGTAACATCCAATTTTTATAGAAATGAGCTTGTTATAATGAAGCCTCTTTCATAAATAAGTGAGTTTACCTATATTCTTGATTACAACTTCTTCAGTCACTTTTAGCAACTCTTTTAGAGTCTGTTATCATTATATTTTTTAATTAGAAAAATATAATGTTCACGCCTGCAATCCCAGGACTTTGGGAGGCCAAGGTGAGAGAATTGCTTGAGCCCAGGAGTTCAACACCAGTTTGGGCAATATAGCGAGATCTCATCTTGACAAAAAATTCTTAAAAATTAGCCAGGTATGGTGATGGATGCCTGTAGTCCCAGCTACTAGGGAGGCTGAAGCAGGAGGATCACCTGAGCCCAGGTGGTGGAGGCTGCGGTGGGCCATGATCATGCCATTATACTCCAGCCTGGGTGAAAGAGTGAGATTCCAATTAAAAAAAAAATTACAGAATATCAGATACTTATACTGAACCTTTGTTTTCTTGGAAGAGAAATTCTGAAACTGTAAACATACACCTTTGCTGTGCTTTTGATTTAGAAAATAACCATATCACAAGGATGTTTTACTTTAAGTGTTCCTATTTGGCATCTTAGCTAACAGACAGTATTACATACAATTAATTGAGCTGAACACACTCTTGTTTATATACCACATCTTTTCCCAAAGTAACAAGTGTAATAGGTCCTGCAGCTAAGAAACCTCATATATCCTGCCACAGAAACAAGAGATTATAAACAATTATTTATTTTTTTAAATGCCACTATTCAACTGAAATAATTTAAGGTCCTAAACCAGCTATTTTATAACTTGATTGCAATTTGTGTGCCTTTTGAACTTGACTGTGGTTTGCCAACTTAGTAGTATCCTATTCCCCCTGCCTGGTTCAATTTTAGTCTTAAACCAAGTGGTCTCCAAATGAGGTGCACATATATATTCCAGAGCACAGACAAATCACTGAAATGTAGAAAGAAAATATTAAAAATTCTATTAATAACACTTTCTCTCACCCTTTAAAATGTCTATTTTTGGTGTGTTTCATAACATACAATATGTGTTAGTACAGTAGAACTTGTAGAATTTGTAAATAAATACACATTTTAAGATTACATAGTCAAAAAAATTATTACTCATTAGGGTATCTGACTTTAAAAAAAAAAGGTAATACTCTTCTATAAAACAGACACCACTATCTTTTAAAAAGTCTCTGACCACCAAAAGACCATTAAAATTAGTCCTTTTTGCTTTTATCCAGGGACTTACTGACTCTTAATAATTTACTATCAGAGATTCTACCAATATAAAAGCGGCAGCAAAAAGACAATGATGGCAATCAAAGTGTTAGCAGAAGCTAGGGAATCAGAAAATCAGCAAAGTACAGTCTGATCACAAGTTAGCACCAATAAAATTGTTCATGAAGGAAATTTGGAGTTTTAAATACTGAGATTGAAAGTATTCTATAATGTCTTAAGAAAAAAATATTTTTGAAGCTAAGAAACTATCAGAAAAATATGCCACCAAGTATTATAATTCCAAAAGAAGACTATACTAAAGAAGAATACACAAACCAGACAGCTTTGCTTAAAAACCAGGAGATATATCATTATAAATAATACAGAAAATAATCTGGATACTTGACAAGAACATTTAATTGAATCATGATTCTAAAATAAAAAATAACTGAACATAAGGTCTTTCAGAAAACACTTAGGTAAGTTTCCTCTAATATTTTATTTTAAGGGATACAGCAGTTAGTCACCTCACTTCCCGAAAAAGAAAAAAAAAAAAAGGAAAATGATACAAGAGGTGAAAAATTTAAACTGCAGTGAAAAATTTAAGTTACAGTTTTTGCTATCAAATACTTTAAAAGTGATATGTCAGGAAGCTATAATTATTAGTACAATTGTAAGTAAACCAAGAAAATAGATGAGAAAAAGAAAATAGCGATTTTAATGTATATCAAACAGATGAAGATTTGAGCAATTATAACAATAAACTTCGTTTTGGAAAATAATTCCTGTAATTTTTAGTTGCATAGTTTGCCATGTAGAGTGTTGATTTGTCTTAAATAAACTTGAAGCTTGGACAAAAGCTATTTTCAAACTGAATTATACATCTGTTACATATGAAACTGTACCAATCAGAAAAGAATGGTGCTGGTCTATTAAGCATTTTAAATATAAAAACTAAGAGATATAGAAACCAACTTCCAGAAGTCTTTAATATGACAAAGGGAACCACTAGGCACACAGAAAGGTCCCTCACTGAGTAGAGGAGATGGATAACAGTGAAAGAGACTGACAGCATTAGAAAAGACTAAAATCACATCAAGTGCATATTACAAATCACTCCTAATAAGTGTAGGGCACTGGTATATTACCACATCCAAGCAGTCATGGGCCTGTTGGCTGTTATGCTAGATTGTAACTGGATTGAATTTTTTTCTATTTTGATGTCACTATTTAATGGAAACACACCTCAAACTTAAAAAACAAAAAACTGAGAAATAAAATTTGCTTCACAGAAGTCTACATTATAGTTAGTTCACTTTATAAATAATTCTATTCCTTCAAAATAAGGATAGCTATTAACAAAAGATCTCTTGACAGTGCAACACAGATTTCAAAACAAAATCATGTGTGATCCTAACTGGTTTCTTGTCATGTCATTTGAAAGACACCAACAAATACAAGGGAGGACCTTCAAAAAAAACAGAATTTTATAAAAAATTGTGCATTTATTCTTGCATGTTTAAATTTCAGCCACATTCAAAATACTCTCGGTCTGAGGCAATACACCTATTGAGATGCTTCTTCCACTGTTCAAAACAGTTTTCAAACTTGACGATTTTGATGGCTTTTAGTGTTTCTGCCAGTTTTTTATTTCACCTCTTTCACACTGGCAAAATGTTACCCTTTGAAGACTTTATTCATCCTGGGAAACCAAAAAAAGTTGCTCAGGGTGAGATTGGGTGAATAGGGAGAGTAAGCCACGGGTGTCATGCTGTTTTTGGTCAAAAATTACTGAACACACAGCACAGTGTGGCAGGTGTATTGTCATGGTGGAAGACCCAGTCACCTGTTTGTCACAAATAAATTCAATGAAGCTACAGGCAGCCTCTCATAACAATGGTAGCTGGGTTCAATGATGTTACCTAGTGGTAATGAGGGAAGCTGGTACTATAGGGGGTACAACTTCCAAAAAGATAATTCCGGGTTTTTCTGGTCCCCCTCGGATAGCATCAGTTTTAAGTACTCATCATTTAAACCTTTATAAGTCTAGTAACCTAATAAATAAAGAAAACTGTATTGCGTTGTAATGGGGCAGTTTTTTTCAATTCTATTTTGACTTTTTTATGGCAAAAATCGTACTAGTGAACACATCATTGATTTCATATCATGAAAGATATCCAAATTAAAATGGAAAAATGATATATCTAACATTGGTAAACAGAAATTTATCAAAAGACAAAAAACACAGTATGACTTGAGGAAAAGTATATCAGTTAAATCATAACATTCAAATTGGAATGAAAAAGATAATCTGCTTGAGAATATTTACCAAAAAGTAACTTAATTTAAAAATATTTAAAATGCAAAGTTTCAATCCAACTGTTAAGATTACTGTTTGAGGGCAACACACTTTAAACTCAGGAAAGAACACTCAAATGAACCACTTAAGTTTAAGATGGTGCTTTAAATTTAAAACTGGGAAATTAATCATTTAAGATTACTTGTGAAAGATGTAATCACTTGTTAAAAAGAACAAATAAGCGACCTGATTACAATAGTCTGAGGAAAAAAAAGCAAATTTCCCTTTATAGCATGAAACCTGTTAAATCAATTCATTAAATAAGGTGTTCATCTCAATTTTTCAGTTGTTGAAATAATAGTGTTAAAATAATAGTATAGCACAACCAGGGAAATCATAACTATTGCAGATTAAAATGTCAGTGAGAAACATTTTTCATATGAATTTTTTTTAAAAATCATTCAAAAATACTCCTTTGTAGGAAATCAAAATAATTCCATTAGAACTTTAAGAGACAGAAAAGATTGCACAAAAATCCAGTTTGAAAGATAATAAATATACAAACTATTAAACAAAGCCAGGAATGTAGATTACTTGGAAACATCTACTTATAGCCATTTTAATGAGGAATTAAAGGATACAATGTGCTAAAGACACATTTAAAAGATTAGCAAGGGGATGAGACAGATGAATTAAATTTTGTTTATATCCCAAATAATTATAAGAAACTTGGGAAATGTAGTGTAATTCCTATTTTCTTTTCAGTTTAAAAATCTCTATCCATTGCCTCTATCTTTGGCATCACTGCCACCAATAAACACAGTATACAGCTTATAAACCTAATTACTATCTTTAACTAGGAAAAAGTAAAACAACATTTCTTTAAAAATAAGATATAAAGAATGTGATCCTACTTAATTTTGTCTCATGGTCCCACAATATCCTGAAACATCATGCCAAAATGTAGAAGTTCAAAAGGGAACATTATCATCTGCTATAACTGCACCAAAAATTTAGCTACTGTACGCTGGTGTGATGACAGCTAGTAGTATGCAGAGGCTACAGAAAGACATAATATATGTGAATATGTTTAGCTCACAATTAGTAAAGGAAGGTTCAGTTTAATGTGAAACTGAAACATGACTACAAAATGCCTTCATGTAAATATGCCACAGCTTTGCTTTCTTGCAGTTAAAGATACTGTAATTAACTTTACACAAAACACTAAGAAACATGGTAGTTTTTCATGATTAAAATAAAATAGCAATGTAAATTAATTTAACACAGTGTTAAATATATTCACATGATCACCACTGTGATTCAAAATGACCACTAATGAAGTTACATATCAATATATGTACAGAACATTTGTCACAACAGTTTTTGTAAGTTTGACTTTTTACAGACCACGTAATTTTACAAGACAAATAATCTTGTATCAATTCTTTCATATTATGAAAGGGATTAGGTGTTGTAAGTAGTTTCATTCCTTTGGGGGAGGGGGAAGGGAGAACCTCTAAAAAGTCGGTGTAAATTGAAGAGAGCTCTACCTTCTTGAATATTTGAGTTTGTTGACCAAGACAGATTCCTATGAGCTGAGGATAAACAAATCTTAAGATATTAATGAATCTCGTAACATTGTCAGCGGCATTTAGGAGCTATATGCCACAAAAAGGAACACCAGGTCCTATAGTAAAGCCTTCTGAGAATATGGTTGCTGTGGTTGAGGGGGCTGCTGACTGCCTCCTGGCTGAGGCAGGGTTGATGACGTTAAATTATAGTTTGGCACCTGGGACATACTAGTTCCTGCATTCTGGTACAGAGTGACATCAGCAGTTGCAGCGGCAGCAGCAGGGGGAGGACTATATACGGAAGCCGGGCTGGGATACGTATTTCCTTGCACTGAACTGACCATTGTGCTGTGGAGGGAGAAAAACACTCAGTTAGATAAAACTGCATTACAGAGCCATTTACAGATAAACAAGAAAGCTATTTATTAAACATTCATTCAGGCCAGGCTCGGTGGCCCAACTTGTAACCCCAGCACTTTGGGAGGCCAAGGCGAGTGGATTGCCTGAGCCTGCAGGTTCAAGACCAGTCCTGGCAACTTGGCGAGACCTCGCTTCCGCAATAAATAAAAAATTAGCCAGGCGCAGTGTGCGCGCCTGCAGTTCCGGCTACTTGGAAGGCTAAGGTAAAAGGATCACTGGAGCCCAGCAGGTCGACAATGGTGTGGCCGTAAGTGTGCCACTGCACTCCAGTCTGGGTGACAGAGTGAGATTTCAACTCAAAAAAAAAATAAAGGAAAGAAGGAAATACAGCTAAACATTCATTCATATATTCAATTTACTTAATACATATTTATCAAATATCTATAATGTGACAAACATTAATATTTTGGGCACTCTGATTCCATGAGAGAGAGAGAGAGAGAGAGAGAGAGAGAGAGAGAGAACAGTAATTTTATGATGTGCCAAGTGGTTATAAATCCCAGGAAGAAAAAGCACAGAAGGAAGGATATAGAATACCTGGGGCAGGAGATTCTAGATAACGGTAGGGGAAGGCAACACTTAAGCAGAGACTTGAAAAAAGTGAGGGAGCAAGCCAAATTGATGATATAGGAAAAGCACATTTCAGCAAAGAGAAAAAGAAAACTTTGAGGAGAGAAAACACCAAGTGTGTTGTTCAAGGAACAGCAAGGTGGCATGAGCACTGCAGCAGAGAGAACAGGGGGGCGAACACAAGGTAGAGCAGCAGAATTGAAGGAGGGCAGCATGGGGATAGGGTGTAGTACACGCGTATACAGAGGCTTGAAGGCCATTATAAGAATTCTGGCTTATGCTTTGAGAAGATGTAAAGACACTGGTTGGTTCTGAGCAGAAAAGTGATGTGATTCAACTTAGGTTTTAATAGTCTCACTCTGGGACAAGGATAGAAGCCAAAAGATCTGACTGGAGGCTTATTAGAACATTCTGGAAAGAGCTGATAGGCAGCAGAGCCAAAGTGGCAATGATGGAGAAAAAAGTCAAGTTCTAGACATATTTTTTTAAAATAGTATCTTCAATAGAGAAGTCAAGAGTGCCTGCAGTTTAGAAGTGAATAACTGGTAAAAATAACTGGCAGAGTGGCCATTCACTGAAAAGGTAGGACAGGACCACAGTAGGCTGGGGGTATGTGGGGTGGGGAAGATCTTGGACATGTCAAGTGAGATGTCTAGAAAATACACAAGAGAAGATAAAGCACATCAGCCAGCTATCAAGTCTGGAGTCCAGAGAGGAAGTGAGGAGTAGACATATACATTTGAGAGTCATCAGCAAATACACGGTGCTCAGAGTTAGTTAGAGTCGTGGGGCTGCAGGAGATCCCCCAGGCAGTGACACAAACAGAGAAGGCAGCCCATACACTGAGTCCTAGACCTTGAGGTTGGAAAGATAAAGAGGCCATGACAAAGGAGATAGAGAAGGAGTGGCAGTGAGGTAGAAGGAAAACAGAGAGAAAGGTTAAGGTCAAGTGGAAAAAGCATTTCAAAAAAGAGGAGGGAATAACAAATCACCAAATGGATAGGAGGAGAACCACATTTATCAAGCATCTGCATCTATATCCATTCACATCTTCTGCTTTCCCCTCACTACAACCAATCAGCCATCAGCATGCCCATCTCAGGGCCCTCCAACTGACCATCACTCCTATCATAAAAGAAAACACAATCCATTAACAGGTGTCTTTATTCACTGTCTCTCCTTGCTCTCTTCCTATTCTCAAATTATGACTTTCTACTTTGTGTAAGACACTAGCTTAAGTATGCAAAGAGAAATATTAGGATGCTTTAAAGTTGAGAATTTTCCCTATGTTTGTATTAAGAATGTAAAACAACCTATGTAATGAACAATTGTCCACAATTTTGAAATATTGCCTACCTACTTATTTCTATATTGTTCTCCAATTGCGAAATTGTATATAAATTTTATTGCTGGTAAATTCACTGCTCTTGTCCTTTACATAAATTAAATTCATTATTAGATGGCAATTTAATCCATTATAAAAAACATGGCAATTTAATGCTTCATTCCACCAACAATTGTGATGACTTTAAGGCATCACCCATTATCATTCTCTGTGTGTTGTGCTGTGAGATATAAAGTTGGATTACAAGAAGTCATATTTTATGCTACTATTTACAAGAGATTAGGCTATAATATTGCTGTAATATAGTATAGAGCAGGAGTGTCCAACCCTTTGGCGTCCCTGAGTCACCACAAGTAAAGAGGAATTGTCTCGAGTCACACACAAGTTACATAATATAGTTAATGTATATATATAAGAAGATCTTTTTCTATTTTTTATCATAAAGTTTAGAAACATGAGAACAATATAAAACTAGTGGGAGGGTACCTGCATAATCAACGTTTGTATACCTAACCCTGAATTGTACCCCATAACTTTATTAAAAAAAAAAAAAAAAAAACTAATGGGAAACATGACCTTGTTTCTGTAAAACTAATCTATCAGTGTCTGGTTTATTGGAAATGGTCGCAATTCTTAGTGAGTTCTCAAGGTGCTTGTCAGAAATATTTGTTCAAATTTTGCTCTTCATGTATTTCATAATTAAAAACAGCTGCTCACAAATGTATGTGCTGCCAAAAACTGACATCATAAGCAAGGCATGATTGTGAAGTGAGGGATATTTTTCTCTAGGAAGATAGGTCTTATAAAAGTCCAATGAAGAGATATAGTCAAATTTTTTTTTCAGTTGAATGTCTGATTACAACTATATGCATTCCATTTGAAAATCTGCAGGTAAAACACCAATATCAACTGAAAATGGTGATTTTCAAATATAGCAAAATAGTGAAACTTTGCTAGAAATCTTTAAATCTGTTAAAAATTCTGTGTTAAGACAGAAAAGCTGTATATTTTTGGCAGTTCATAGGACTGCATTTTTAATATGTTAAATCATTTTCCATAATTTGAGCCTGTCATACTTTTAAGTTTTATTTCAAGCACAGTATAACTTTAAAATTTCAAAAGTGGAGCTATGCATAGAGTCACGAAGAAAATATATGTTAAAAACCACATGATCTTAAAAGATTTTGTGGGGTCACATTACTAGCTGTCTTGGGCTGCATTCGGCCTGTGAGCCACAGGTGGGACATGCCTGGTGTAGAGACTATGCACTAAGCTCTAGGGCTAGAATGAATGACTGGTTTTGAACCTTAGTGAAGAGGGACCTTAGTCCTCTCTCCATGTCTCAGTTTCCCCATCTATAAAATAGGGTAATCATATCAACTCTATAGGTTACTATGAGGAATAAATGAATTAATATGTGTCAAGCTTATAGCACAGTGCCTGGCACACTCTAAACATCCCATAAATGTTAGCTCTCATAGTACTTATCCTCACTGTATACTATATTCCTTATCTCAATTTACAGTTCCGCCATCCATCTATGCCTGGGACAAAGTCCTGCAATTCACCCAATACGTCTTTCTCCTATCTCTGCTCTGTACTATTTGCCAACCATGTTACCCAATACACAGCTTTTTACTAATCTCCTAATAACTATTTCCCATTAATATCACTGTATCTTGTAGTTAGACATTTGTCATTTATTGTCTAAATGACAAGGTCTCCTGGCTTCTAATGTTTCCCTATGAATCCATCTCTCTTACAGTCATTAAAAGCCTTTTATGGGCTTTCTAATTTTAACATGATATCTAGGACCACTCATTCCACTATCCTTGTCAGTATCTCCTGGCATCAGTATCTCCTGTCTCACAGCTCCCACCACACACTTTAACCTGTGAGTCACCATGTACAGCTGGGAATGCCCGATATGTGCCATGCCTTCCATACCTCCCATCTTGCCCTTCCATACTACCAAATCTTTGTCATGACAGAATATTTTTCTTACTTTTTTTTCTCCTGGCTAAGAATAACACAGCTTGAGTATATTTTCTTGGAAAACTTCAAACCCTGAGGCTCCTAAAGCACTAGACATACACCTTTATAAGTTATGTTGTGCTTAATTATGCATTTTTATGTGTGCCTGTACTAGCCAGTAAGCACCTTGAAGCTACGAAGCTCTAAATCATATCTGTATATGACGTGCCTAGAACAGTGTCTGGCACCCACTAAATGTTCCACAAACATCTCTTTAACAAAAGCAAACTGAAATCACAAATATGTACATGAGCTTTGGTGACCTTATCACTTATTACTGCCTTATAATACTACCATCACTACAGGTAGGTTTAGAAAAATGTATCAGTACCAACTTCCCCGATTAACAATAAGACTATCCCAGGATGACAGAAGTCTACAAAAGGGCTGATTCTAATACTAAAATTATATGTAAAAGAAGAAACAGTTTCCTAGATATGAATGGAAGAACTTAAAAAGAAAAAAGCCTGCCTACCAAAAATAACAAAAATCCTCATTGCCCTAGATTTATAACTAGAAAGCTCGAATCAAACATGCAGTACACCTCTAGCAAGGAGACTTCTAACCCTGATCCTCACATTCCTTTTGCAATTTTGTTATCCTACATTTGCTCTGCCAGCAATATCATTTTCCCATTTAAAAAACACACGCACACACACTATAGGAGATGGTCAGGTCCCACGCCAGGGATTTCACATTCTGACTGCAGAAACAGACAAAGTAACCCCCAGAGAATACCAACAAAGTGCTAGAGGACTTCACAGTTACCACACCAGGCAGCATGTTACCTCATTTACAAGGACAGTGTCCCAAGGCCCTGACCTGTAAGAATGGGTCCCAATCTCTAGTAACAAGGTAGTTAGGGCATTATGTGACACGTAAAACAGAATACTGGCAAGGAAAAATGTGGCACTTCTGGCTAAGACAAAAACAGCTACAGGATTCCTTCATAACTCATGAACACTGGTTGTCTTCCCATCAGTTCCTACCTTCTATACTAGTTTTAATGCAACATGCTACCCTTCTAAGAACAGCTGCTTGCTAATTTTCCATACAAGGATATTCATCTTCACCACACATCAACTCAAAAAAAAAAAAAAATCCTGCATTAGAGAGACTACACCTAACATTTTTTACTGATACATAACTCACTAGGGAGCATTCTGTTAATTTCTACAACAGGCCTCCCCATCATCCTCCTCCTTAAGGTTATATCAGAATACTAGATGCAATAACAGAATACTGCTTGAAAATCCCCAAGCATCTCCAACATGTGCTCTGTGAGGAGGAGTAATAACGAGGACAGTATAGGAGCATTCCTGAGCAATCCTGACACTAATGGAAAGCTTTCTAGAAACTGTGCCTATGCCACCTAGAAATGTGTTATATGTCAGAATATCATGACTTCTAGAATACATGCCATTAAACTCTTAAAAGCCTGCCCTTTACTTGCTTCAAGGGAAAGACTTCAGCTTAGATTCCTATTAAAGCAGAAAAAACATTTCTGTAATAATCACTTAACTATGTGACAGAGAGCACTGTAAGTAACAACTCATATTCAGTTATCTGCCTCAGGAGACACAGGGTATGTAGCTTCTTATCTCTTCTCTTTTCACATGTATCTTGCTATAATATAAACTAAATTCCAACAGAGAAAACACAGAAGAGTTGTAACAGCATTAGTCACAAATGATAGTCAATAATCAAATTACGTTGGGTAAGAAGCCTGAGTCTGCTGACTAGGAAGGGCTGGGTTTGCAGACGGTGGCACCACTCCTTGGCTAAGAGAAGACAGCTGCTCTGGGGGAAGACTGTAGCTCTGGAGATGGCTCATCTGTGCATTCCCTGCAACCAGGTAAGCACCGCTTGGAGGAGGTCCTGGATATACCTAGGACAGTTAACGAGAAAAAATATTGAATTCCAAAATTTTAATAGACATGCCAAACTTTATTTTAGAGGCATTCGGTCACAAACAAGATTTAAAAATTACCACTACAGAATCTTTTCTTAACAGTAACTATTGTTCATAGGCATTTTAAAAACCACTTTTCAGGGAAGTTGATTTTGTTTTTAGTTAACATTCGCCAAATTCATGTTTAGCTCCATTCAGAAGCTTTAGATAAACTTATCTTGGAACTGTATATTAATATAATCTCCCTTTTCTTTTTATGTTTAATATTTACATTTTATATTAATATTTATTATTTTCCATGTTGATACTTTAAAAGAAATCCCAATGGATAGTCAGGAAGTGTGTCTGAATTCGTTTTTTAGCCACAAACTGCAAGGACCTATGGATACAATTCACATTTCCTATATTGCGATTTATTGAAAATTAAAGCAAGCTACCTTTCTAAAGCAGGGGTCAGAAAACTTTTTTGTAAACAATCAGAGAGTAAATATTTAAGATGTTGTCCATATGGTCTGCCACAACTACTCAATTTACTCAACTGATATAGAAAGCAGCCATAAACAATGCAGATACAAATGAGAGTGGCTATAGAAAGCAGCCATAAACAATGCAGATACAAATGAGAGTGGCTAAGTTTTCCAATAACAATTAAAAAAAAAAACAAAACAGGCAGCAGATGTGATTCATTTGCTTACTTCTGCATTTAAAGATGTATTTTTTAAATCTGAAGAGACTGAAGTCTTAAATACCCAAAGTCTGAAACATGTTTTAATTTTCTGTAGTATTCATTAGATCCTTCCATTGCACTTGTCTGAAAAGAGAACTTCCACTGTCTATGTACTAAGACTGTTATCCGTTAAGACAATAATACAACAACCAAGAGACGAGGATGATAATCAGTTTAGCACTTCCGTTAAAGCATAAATATAACCACCATACATCAGGATCAAAAAGTCTTCATTATAAGCACAGTTATACCAGTCCTCATGACTGTACTGTATCTTTCTTTGCAAATTGAAAATGACTTAAACTAGTGATCTAGCCCCAAATTTCTTGGGTCCAGCTAGCCACCTCCAGTGTGCTGGCCAATCATTTCAGGGGAAATGGACTATGCTAAAAAATTAATCCAAACAAAGTTTGTGTCCCCTTACATAAAAAAGACATAATACCTGACAAATTACTCCTATATCCTGAACTTGCTGAGTTTGTGAAAAGGGGGCTTTTGAAATAGTTCCTTTTGGTGAAAAGAAGAAAAGCGCTCTATATTACATTACACACATTCTCATATAAAGAACAGGAAAATTTCCAGATTAAAGCAACTTTAAAAAAATATGTAAATAATGCATTGTGTTGATTTATGACAGCTTTTCATCTCATTTTCTTTTTACATTGTATTTATTTCCTTTTAAGAATAACTAAATGTTCGCTAGATATTTAAGAGTTTTTCTTAGCTCTGAAACGTTTTTTTAAAAACGACTTTATTGAGATGATTGACATACAAAAGGGTGTACACTTAGTGCACACAACTTGATTATTTTGAAGTTAAGTATATACCCATGAAACCGTCATCACAATCTACACCATAAACATGTCCATCACCTCCAAGAGTTTCCTCTCACCATCTCTGTTACTTTTTCATAAGAATGTTTAACATAAGCAGCACATTACATAAACAAAAACTGTAGATTCTTTAGGAGAATTTAGTAATAATTTGAAATTTGACTCAGTTTCCACAAAACTGAGGTTCTTAAGGAAATAATTAATTTTGACGCCTTAAAAGTATGGGCCTCAATCCTGAAGATTCTGATTCAGTAGGTCTGGGTTGAGACCAAAGTATCTGTGTTTTTCTAAAAAAAAATTGATGGTTGATTCTCCTGTGTATCTTATACAAAAAGCAATTAAAAAACTATTGGTATAATCGTATATTATACACTGTAATTGTCAAATTAAAAAATTCTTTTAAACTTTATTTCCATTCTAAGCATTACTTTTAGAAAGTTTCACATTTTACAAAAACACAGCTATTCCAAATAATGTCAAATTCATCTGAGAATTTAAAATAATACACCTGAACTTTTAAAAGCTTACCTGAGAACCAGAAACACCAGATGTCTGCATATAATATTGCTGATTCTGTAATTTTGCATACATGGAATACATTGGATCTTCATTCATTAACTTGGTATACAATGAAAGTGCCTCCATAACTTTAACATTAAGTTCTGAGAGTTCTGAGTGTTTTCTGAAACATTACACAATAATTAGAAACATAGTTGTTGCTTAAATGATATAAAGTTCTACATAATGACCCATCAAAATACAAAAAATAGCAAAAAGTAGTAACAGCGGAAGACATTTAGCCTGTGATAAAAGTATCCTGTATTTTAGCCCTGAGGCATCTAAAACTGATTAAGGGTTAGGTACTGTGCTGGGGAAATTTCAGCTTATTGTACTTGACTGTACCTTGAAGCATCTAGGTTTCTCTAGATTTTAACAAAGTGGTCATTTGTGAGCTCTGGTAATGCCACATTAGTAAAGATTATTATTACACAGTTAGCCCTTCTTTTTAAAAAGACTAATAAAGGCCAATTAACTTATCACTTTAAAAAAGGGACAGATGAATCTAATTCTCCACAAATTTAGTAGAACACACGTGAATGAGAAATGGTTTCTTCAGAATCAATCAATATATCCTCCTCCCGCCCCCCCACCCCCAGGCAGATACAGCCCACTCTGCAATTTGATAGTTTCAGGGAAAAGGGTACACAATATAGACATAGCCCGTATTATTTTACCTATCAATATCTTCCAACTTTTCATCAATGAGAGGGCCCATCTGGTGACACATTGCTAAGATGACAAGATGTGAAACAAATACAAGAAAATATAAAAACAGGAAGTGAGCCTTTGATAGACAATATAATTTAAGGAGTAAAAGATTTAAAGTAATAAAAATATATTATTAATTAACCTTAGTTAATATTTTCTTAAAGTATGATGTGACAACTTAATCTAAAATACTGATCTCAAAATTTAAAAGTGGCAATTTTCACTTTGCAAGATTCTAAAATGTTGAATAAAACATTCATTTGGATAGAAAAGTACAAGAATTCAAACTCTACCCAAGGTTTAAACTGCATATAAAAGTGAGCCTGGATCAGAGAAGAGTGATACATGTTACATTTTAACATCATTTTCAAAAACCGATCCTGTAATAGAACAACAGGCACTAATCTCCAATTATTCTTTACTTGCAATGTAAACAGAACACTGTTTTTACCTTCGAGATGAAGTAGCTCTGGTAGATCTGGCTGATCATCACTGGGATCTGTACTCTGCAACATCTGTAGCAACTGGTCCATTTTATCCTACAGAAATTAAACAGTTAATTAAAAAAAAAGCAGTCAACCTTTATGCAACACTATGTTCTCGCTTCATTAACTAGATAATGGATACAGTACTTCTGTAATTCAGTTAAGGAGACTCCAATTTTGCTTTTAGGTTTTCAGTATCCTATGCATTTTAGAACCATGTGAAGTCAGAGCTTTGAAAGCACTTCCTACACATTTTTAAAACTGCTAACGATTCTCTTAAATAAGAATAGAGCGACATTTAAATTTACAATGTGTGAGTTCTTCAATCTCTTACATCATAAGAGATTTCCCTTTGTTTTAAAGCAGCTTTAGCTTAGCCAAGCCAACAGGTGTGACATCCCTCTCAGAAGGGCACTGCTTATGACTAACAACTCAGTTATTACTACTTTGCCCCATGGTGAATATGGCAGCTGTTTCAGTAAGGCAGAGCTCAGCTATTTTACAGCTGTTCTTCCAAGCAGGGCTCGAAAGATTTACTCTAAATTCTCTTTCCATCAGTGCTTCAGTTAGTCATAAAAGGAAAAAGGAAGCCTTGTGGTTTCTCCATTCCTCTATTGTGGGAAAGGCTGGATGGTATCACAAACGAATGTCTCAGATTTATTTCAGAGTCTTTTGATGTAGGAACTAATGAAACCAACAAAACCATCGTTATGTAAATACACCTATACATTATATAAGTACGTTATATTTATAAATACACATGTATTTATATGTATTACATCTGCAAATAGATCTATCAAAGAATCCTACTAAAATAATTACTAATTTTTCTCCGTACACGGTTTCTACAAGGTTATGTTATATACATAGGTACACAGGGCAAATAATTTAAAGACTACTAATTCTAAGCACAGTAATTATTTAAAACAAAAACTCTGTGTTCTGTGTAAAAGGAAAAAACAGTTACAGAAATGAATCATTAGAGAGCGAAAGTGCATTATAAAAAAACTCTTTTCAAGTCAAAAGAATTCTGTATTTCCAACTGGATACTATTTTTCAGTGTAAAAGAGTCACAATTTTCATTATAAGCAGTCTAAAATATGAAGATTTAGAAAATCTGCCTACCACAGAAACCCCATTTCTAGGTACCCACTAGTCTGCCTCCACATGCCTTTTTTTATGTAAATGCAACTGGTCAAACAACTTTCCCTAACCCAGTTGGATTTGGTGGCTCTTAGCTCAGTCTTCTACAGTGTGTTTCTCTACAAGAACACTGCTCAAATTTTCCGTTTCTGTTGCCCCTAAAAGACTGCTAAAAACCTATGAGTTCCTTCACATACAAGGGGGAACTAAAAAAAAGAGGAATAATTCTTTTGGAGGGTGGGCCTCTTGTAGACAGGCTTCCCCTACTGGGTAAGTGTTCTAAGAACCCATAGGCATCAGTGTATCAGCGAGCGCTGTGGGGAGTGGCTGCATTCAGCTTCAGTATTTTGGAGAGTCTTTCAAAGCATTTGCCCACTTCCTGATGGGTGATTTATGACAGTGCCTGCCCACACGGCTGAGTGCTCAGCAGGTTTTGACCAAAAATGGCATGAGCCCCATGCCCCATTCTCCCGATCTCGCCCCACCTGACTTCTTTCTGGCTTCCCTGGATGAAAAAAGTCCTCAAAGGGAAATGCTTTGCTGACATGGATAGGTGTATTACATCAAATGAACAGTATTTTGAAGGTAACTAGAGTTTAAACATGTAAGAATAAATACACAAGTGTTTATAAATTGTTTTTTGAGGGGTCCTCCCAAGTATTTCAAAGATGACTTTTAATTATTCATTAGTTAAAAATGTTACAAAAGATATGATTTCAAGGACATTAAATGTTGACATTTTAAAATAAAACAGCAACAAATTCCTTTGAATACACCCAAAGAAATTCAAATACCACAGCAATATCCATCCATCATTAGTATTCAAAAACAATCTCTGTCAGGAATTTTAAATGGATTTTCTCATTGAAGTCATCAAATTTCCACACAATTCCCCCCATAAAATCTTATCTTAATATACTCAAAAGTTTTCTATTGATGATCAAATCAAACTTCATTACAACAATAAACATATATATAAATTGATGATAGTGCACTAGGTTAGATAAATTCATCTGTATGAGTTAATGATTACTATTAGCTTATAAAAGATCAAAACAACATAACTATATTTCACTTTTTGAAAGATAAAATTAGGCAGAATTCAGCATCAATTCTATTCCTATTTTTTGTTTTTATAGCTGAAAGTAAGGTAAAACTTTCTTCATATAAACAAGCTATTGTTACAATATTATTGAGTTTTTTCAGTATCTTCTGAGTTTAAGGCCATGAATCATGGTGGCCTGTCAAGAAAAAATATTTTTAATGATCTAATAGCTAACAATTCATCCTGGTCCTCTTATTTTTTGATAGTAAAAAACATGAAGCCATCTAGGCTCTATTACCCAATCATCAGAGTCATTACTTTCCTAACACCAACACCAACATTTGGAATTGTCCCAGGGAATTTTTATACTCTGTGGCCATGCACCACAGCAAGGTTCAGTAAGAACAAGGGGTAAGCCTTTCTTCCATATAATGGGAGAGAAGGATTGTAAAAGGACAGGAGAGGGGAGGAAAAAAGACAAATGGCAATAGAGGGTGTTCTTAGCCACATCAGTTTTAGGAAAGAGTACTTATGGAAAATGAGCATCAGAAAGATTCTCTTAAAATGATCAATATGAGAGCCCAGCATACTTTCTTTGTAAGGTAGTATTTTAGGCTTTTTGGGCCATATGATCTCTGTTGCTACTACTAATTTCTGTCCCTGTGGCACAAAAGCAGCTATAATAGACAAACAGTATGTAAACAAATGCAGCAGTGTTTTAATACAACCGTATTTACACAACAATCAATAGGCCTGCAGGTGATAATCTGCTAACTCCTGATCTATATAACACTTAAAAAATCCTATTTGGTTTGCTAGTTCCATAATTTAATATTGTACTACTAAGGTAATTCGACAGTATGTTAATATGGTTATTTTTAAAAAGCCGTAATATTAATGAGTTTGAGTAGAAAAAGACAATCACAAACATGTTTAAAGATGAAAAAGGTCCCCTGGTAGGTAGTGAGAGGGGAAAAAAACATGAAAAAGGTAACTAGTTTTAATCTTTTTTCCTTATATGCAGTAACAGCAGAGATTTCTACACAGTTAATAGGATAAATTAATTTATAGCAAAAGAAAATCACAAATTTAAATACCAATATGAGGTACTATTGTTGGCTCCAAAACTATGATTTGAGCTGCCACTAAGTTGACGTTGTATTTCCAATCACAGAAAATACCCATAGTTGTTTCAGTGTCACAATGACATATGAAGATATTTTACATAAAATTAGCATAAGCTTTTCCTCAAATGCTAGAATGTGTTCAATATGAGGAGGAATCATTTCCAATGATATTCAATACATTAGCAGTGTTTTTATAAAATGATTTAAATAGAAGTAACTTAATGACAGTTTAATTTTTAGAAACAGTTTGTGTTATTCATTCAACAGGTAGTCAATGAAGTGTCCCTTCCTCATGATGTTCAATCTTCATATGCCTGTTAAGTATTTGGGGAAATATGAACAATTTGGCAGTATCTATTAACATGAAAAACACACAAATCCTTCAACTTGGCCATTCTACTCGGTCCTGAATATCTACTCTAAATAGATTTTCTAGATGTTCAAAAAAACTCACTACAACACTGTAATAGCAGTAAAAGCCAAAAACAACCTAAGTTTTCAACAACAGAAAAATGAAATAAATCATGACAATCCACTTTGTGGAATATTAAGTAGGAATCTGAAATAATGAGATACTGACATGGTATAAATAGGGTTGGACTGATTCAAGAACAATCTTTGCTTTGTGCATTATCACTTGAATTATTATAACAAAAAGTACAAATTTTAATTAATAAAAAAATCAAATAATCGATTTGCTAAAAATACAAAAGCATTAAAACATCAACACAAAGTACGAACTGCCGCCATCCGCATGACCACTTACCTCATCAATAAAGGCTGGCTCCGGCTCTGGGTCTATTGTCTCTACCTGAACATCATCACTAAACTGTACTGTCTTCTTCTCTGTTTTAACTGTAAAATATGTAAAAATTATCTTTTTTTAACAATAAATTTAAAATCTGGTTTTATAGTATATTAGGTTCCAAGAATTTGGGATTTTTCTTGGATTCCTATCAAGCTGAGAGACTCGATTTAAGAAACTGGGTTGCAGATTTTGGCAATAATGACAGAACGTTACTTGATGAAATTCTGTCAAGATTTCTTAACTCTCTCATAAGAGATTTCGCTAAAGATAAGAGTTATATTTCTGAACAAGATTAATCATCTACTACATATCAGAATGCAGTAAATTGGTAGAGTAAAAACAAAGTTTTACAATGACACAAGTAAATTCTGCAATTTAAAATAAATTCTCGCCGGGCTCGGTGGCTCAGCCTGTAATCCCACGCCTTTGGGAGGTTGAGGTGAGTGGATTGCCTGAGCCTGCGGGTTAGAGACCTGCCTGGGCAGCGAGACCTCATCTCTACAATAAATAAAAAAAATCAGCCAGGTATGGTAGCGCATGCCTGTAATTCTGGCTACTTGGAAGGCTGAGGCAGAAGGATCACTGCACTCCAGTCCGGGCAACAGAGTGAGATTCCAACTCAATCAATCAATAAACCAATCAATAAACCAATCAATCAATCAATCAATCAATCAATTCTCTTAAGTTACCAGTCCTTTCAAAGGAAAAATTTGCTTCACACACACTCACACACAGAGTTCACTATTTCTTTCTTTCCTTTTTTTTCGAGTCAGAGTCTCACTCTGTCATCCCAGGCCAGAGTGTAGTGGCACAGAGTTCACTGCAACCTTGACCTCCTCGACTCAAGCAATCCTTCTGCCTTAGCCTCTCAGGCAGCTGGGACTACAGGTGTATGCCACAATGCCCGGCAAATTTTTTTATTTTTTTGTAGAGATGAAGACATGCAATGTTGCCCAGGCTGGTCTCAAACTCCTGGACTTAAGCAATCCTCCCACCTAGCCTCCCAAAGTGCTGGGGTTACAGGCATGAGCCACTGTGCCCAGTCAAAACCCCAACACCCCAGTGGAGAACTTTGCACGTGGTCTTGGCAGGAATTTTCCAACAAATCAGTTTGTATTTCCTATTTGTATTATACTTTGAAATTTAAAAAAGTAGTTACTGAGGGATTAATAAACCACTGCCTGAAGCACATATTTCTCTTGCACACCAAAGTAATTTTAAAAAGCTTTTTAATATAACATTAACTAGTAAATATAAAGTCATTATTAGTATAACAACCTCCAAACAATAATGAGAGGCACATACAGGTCTAAAGAAATGAACTTCCCTTCTGTATTTTTCATTTGTATCAACGTGGTCAATCAGAATTCATAAAAATATTAAGAATCAAGATGGAAAGGGAGACTGAAGAGGGACAAAAAGGAAGACAAATAGTATTTAATAAACTTGTAACAAAAAGTTAGCTGGGCATAGTGGCACATGCCTGTAATCCCAGTTACTCCAGAGGCTGAGGTAGAAGGATCGCCTGAGCCCAAGAGGCCAAGGCTGCAGTGTGCCAGTGTGCAGTGACAGAGTGAAAAAAAGAAACTACTAAATATGTTTCACAGAATATTATATTTTGCCCAATGAATTTCTGAAACAATTCTATGAGATATGCCCATTTATAAATAAGGTTTAGAAAGCTAACAAATTACAAAGCCTGGATTTGAATGTCAGTCTGTCTTCTTCTACTAATCCATACTACTGGAACCTGGCCTGTAATATTCTCTGAGAACAAGAAGTCATATCATTTATGTACTCTTGTGTAGTGTGGTCCTGTATAAAATGGAAATAGTTTAATATCCAACAGAAGGCATATATTTGTCCCATTCAAGTCACCATAAAGCAAAATTCTATATATATAAAAAAAAGTATCAGCTGATTCATTTTTCCATAGTGGAAAAGAGACATCTGCTAGAGATATTTTTGCTTTTTATATCATGAGCTATTAACAAATAGAAACCCAGAACAGCACTGCATTGGCTGTTACCCATAAGAGAACACATGGCAGACTTCATATTCAAACACAGGGGTCCCCAACCCCCGGACAGATACCGTAGGTCTGTGGCCTGTTAGAAACCAGGCCGCACAGCAGGACGTGAGCAGTGGAGGAGCCAGCGAAGCTTCATCTGTCTTTTCAGCCACTCCCCATCACTCACATTACTGCCTGATCTGTCTCCTGTCAGATGAACAGAGGCATCAGATTCTCACAGGGACATGAACCCTATTGTGAACTGTGCATACAAGCGATCTAGGTTGCACTCTCTTTACGAGAATCTAACGCCTGATGATCTGAAGTGGAGCTGAGGCAGTGATGCCAGTGCTAGGGCGTGGCTGCAAATACAGGCGAACATTAGCAGTGAGGTTTGACTATACACATACCCCTAACCCCCATCCAATGGAAAGAGTGTCTTCCACGAAACTGATCCCTGATGCCAAAAAGGTTGACGACTGCTGTTCTAACATGATGATGCACAAGTTTACAACATGAACTTTTTCTCACATCAACTAATACCATTACTACTTGTATATGGGTAAAAATAATACTTTTATTTATACAACAGTATTTTCACAATATCTTGCTGTATCTTCAAAATAAAAACAAGTCAAATAAACCCATTAAATATGATAGGTTAAGTGAAACAGGCTTCTATTTCCTCAAAAAGAACGATGCTATGGGGATCACAGTAGCACTTGTTTTCCACGACTGACAACTACAACCCCATTACTTAAGGTTTTATGCTTCTGTTCCTTTTTTCAATTGTCCAGAGTGAAATTCATAAGAACTAGAAAACTAAACTGAAGCGGCATTGCTATACGATGAAAAAAAAAGATGAAATGGCTCTATAATCGCCTTGATATCTTGGACCTTGTCTTGAACAAATGTCCAAGACAATTCTATCCTTTCCAAAACGTGATTTAGGACAAAGGGGGAAAAAAGGGCCCCAGACAAATGAACAAACAAAAACACCATCACCTGTCCAGGTTATTAAAAAGTCAGCACACTATGCAATGCCATTTAAGCGAGGTTCTTCATGTTTTTGAGTTCTAACAAACAAAAAAAAAAAACTTCATAAAAAAGAATGCATATTAAAAATCTGCCTCTATAAAAGTAACACGGCACCCTTGTAATAACTGTGGGAGAATGTTTTACTAAAGATGTATAATTTCTGGTTTGCTGTTAAAGCCTTTTCTTTCAAGGCATCTCTTTATTGCTAACACATATATTTATGTATCATTTTTAGTCTATAAATATTTATGAAGTATGTATCATGGGTAAGATTCAGTACTAGGTGCTGGTGGAAATATAAAGATGACTAAGACAAAGATCTTTTCAGAAAATTATTGTGAACTAAAAAAAGACCTAAGTATCTTGTGGTTTTTAATTTTCTTTGATCCTTTCTATCTGGCATAGAAAAATGAGATATTTTGCTAGATAGCTGTAGCTTACCAACTTATATATAAAACTATAAAGATTCTAAACTTTTCAGTCACCAATAAAAATCTTTCTAGGCTTGAACATGTTTTTCTATTTTCTTAAATGGAGATAGATTATAACTTAAGCTTTTCTTAATGACTCAAACTCACATTATGATGATTCTTTATAGTATTATGTAGAAATATAGTGAACTTTATCTCCCAATACTTTACAGACTACTGCCCATTACATCTCCTGCAACTTTTTTTTTTTTTTTTTGAGTTGGAGCCTCACTCTGTTGACCAGGATGGAGTGTAGTGGCACAATTACGGCTCACCACAACCTCGAACTCCTGGGCTCAGGGTATCCTTCTACTACCACCTCTTGAGTAGCTGGGGTTATAGATGCATGCCACCACACTGGCTAAATTTTTTTTCCCCTCTGTGTTATAATATTATGCTATTAAAACTTTTAATACTTAAACTTTTCAAGTTCTCAATTCAGTCTCTCTAGGGTGGGGTAAGAAAAAAGCCTCAGGAACCACACCTACCCCACACCCTCCTCCTGAACTGCCTGCAAACCAGGTCCAAGGATTACTAATCCAACACAGGATGCATTAAAAGCAGAGAGACATCAGTCTCCCATCTCTCTCGAGTAAAGGTTACCTGGGCTTCACCCTTAGCATATCAATCATTGTAAAGGTATATCAGACCAATCATAAAAACAAAAGGGACAGTTTTCACTTGCCAACATTTACATGTTTCAAATTCTCTTGTTCACAATCATTTCCTACAATTTAAGCTATAACCTAACTACCTGTCTCTAATGTTTTCAATTTTTTTCTTCAGACTTCGTCAAAGTAGCTGTATTTCCTTTTTAAAATTGTTTTTAACAAAACCCCTTATAACTGCATACACATTCTTACTACAACCCAAAGAAGCTTGAAGACAAGCTGCGGGAACAAACACATATGGACTCAAATTCACTGGTGCCAACAGTGAAAACTGCCTAGACTCCTGCAGTGGGTATCAAACCCACTGGGGTAACTATAAATACATTTCATCAGACATCAAAGCCTCAATATGTCATAACAGTGGCTGTAATGACCTTTCTTAAAGTAGGGTTAATTCTAATAGTGTATGCTTGTGCACAGTACTTTGGATACAGATACTGAAGATACTTAACAACCATGGGCTCCTGTCCTCTCATCCCCTCCTCTTGCTCCAGACAAGTAGGGACAGCTCTACACCCAGTGGTTCAGCAGAAAGTAGCTACAGAAGCCTGATCTTCATCCCTGTACCCAGGTACAAATAAGAATATTTTTAAAACAATAAGAAGTAGGAATGAAAGGAGGTACCTGTAGAAACTTAGAATAAACTTAGTTCTCATTTTGCCTCAGCATAGCCGTTTATGCTTTGACTGACACACTTTGAATCTAGCAAAGATTAGACACAGACAGATCAATTTCCAATAAGCAGGTTTTAGGAAGCGTTCAGACATTCTACTGCAGACCAAGTGGCAGCCTACCCTATCCCCTTGCAAATCTCCATCAAATGCAAGACCAGGACAGCCCAATCTTTCAATTCATGGTTTAGCATAATAATCTGTAGTAAACTTTCAGGTTCCTTGTCAAGGCTGAAGATCAAAGATCACCCCTTGGCTGGCCAAAAAAATAGAAATGTTTTGGTCAAGGAGTTAGTGGATTGCAAATGTCTCTTACAGGAAAGTCTCTTGCAGGAAAGCCCCCTCCCTTTGTCCACCTGAGGACGGGGGATGATAATGTCTGGCAACCTCAAGATCTAAGACCTGTGACTACAATCAACATCAAAGACCCGCAGCCCTGGACACTCGTTTGGACCAAAATCCCTCTACCCAAAAGGCCCTAAATATACCCATTTGGAGGCCCTTCAAGGCCACTCCTGCCTGTGAGTGTCAGCCCACTTTCCAATATGTGAAAGGTGAATAATAAGCTACTTCTTTCTACTCTCTTACTTGGTTGCAATCTTGCATTATTCCCGCAGCCCCGGCCACTGGCTCCAGCCCACCTTGCCTCACTTGACCCTTTCATCTGTGGTCAAGTATGGGAAAATTCCCTTAGTGACTCTTTTCTCACTCTCCTCTCTTCAAACCCTTGTCTCCCTGTGGACTGTGCCGGAACTTGGTGGCAACTGACAGCTCTGGCCAGGACGGCTCCCTGGTGTGTCTAAAGGTCCCAAGGAAAGGCAGCAGACTGCCAAGGCCCATTAGTGAGGAAGACTAAGGTCTACCTTCTACTTCCTCCTGCAGCCAAGCTCTCCAAGCCTCTCCATGGACCAGACTAGATCTCAGTGGGCAACTGACTGTCTTTTCGCCAGGGTGACTCCCTGGAAAGGTAAGAAGGCCCCTGATGGAAGGTCCTGGACTGCCAGTGCCCTACCAGGTGAGATGTGAAGAGCTTGACTCTTATCTTTCACTAACCAATCTCGGTTCTTTCTTTACTTGAAGATGATCTACACCAAGTATAGTCCCACATTGCCTCAGTCTTTCTTGGTATGAAGCACCACTTTCAGTGAGTCTCATTATTTATCTGGTCAGGAGGAAGGTTCTGAAAGCCACTCTGAGAGGTCACTCTTTCCTTTCTTTTGCCTTGGGAAATGCTGGGGTCTGAGAACCTCTGTAGCAAGTTTGAACAGCCCTGGCACTGGTGGCTACCGAGCTGTCTCAAGTAGGTCGAGGAGGCAAAGGATGCTATCTCTCACTCATTCTCATGTACACACAGGCTGATTTCACTGACCCTCTGCCCGGGATGCTGGCTGAGGTAATTTTTCAATTTTTTCTGTAGAGATAGGGTCTCACCATGTTGCCCAGGCTGGTCTTGAAATCCTGGGCTCAAAGTGCTGAGATTACAGGTGTAATCTTGCCTTGGCCTCCCCAAGTGCTGAGATTACAGGTGTAATCTTGCCTTGGCCTCCCCAAGTGCTGAGATTACAGGTGTAATCTTGCCTTGGCCTCCCCAAGTGCTGAGATTACAGGTGTAATCTTGCCTTGGCCTCCCCAAGTGCTGAGATTACAGGTGTAATCTTGCCTTGGCCTCCCCAAGTGCTGAGATACAGGTGTAATCTTGCCTTGGCCTCCCCAAGTGCTGAGATTACAGGTGTAATCTTGCCTTGGCCTCCCCAAGTGCTGAGATTACAGGTGTAATCTTGCCTTGGCCTCCCCAAGTGCTGAGATTACAGGTGTAATCTTGCCTTGGCCTCCCCAAGTGCTGAGATACAGGTGTAATCTTGCCTTGGCCTCCCCAAGTGCTGAGATACAGGTGTAATCTTGCCTTGGCCTCCCCAAGTGCTGAGATACAGGTGTAATCTTGCCTTGGCCTCCCCAAGTGCTGAGATACAGGTGTAATCTTGCCTTGGCCTCCCCAAGTGCTGAGATACAGGTGTAATCTTGCCTTGGCCTCCCCAAGTGCTGAGATTACAGGTGTAAGCCACCATGCAAGGCCTTTCCTGCATCTGATATGCACGCTGCTAAGAACACTTTTCCTCCATCACTCCACTTTACAGTTTATTTCTCCTTATCAGCAAGGGTTGTAAATCCAACAAAAAGCTATTATATGATTTGTTATAATATGGCTCCATCTGAATATCTGACATGTTGCTTAGAGGCTACTGGTTCAAGTCTGGGGCTAGACACTTCTATCAACTGATAAGAAAAATGTATAATATGCAAATTCCGTAACACTTCTTAATAAATCTGCATTTTTACAATGGCCTCTATAAAGACAGACATATATGACAAAGAAAAACTTATGTCTAAAGGTAATCTTGGTAGACAATTTCAATTCCTAGATTATTTCTGGAAAATAATCTGCCTAGAGAGCTGTATTTTTAATGAACACCTTAGAGGCACTAACATTTGAGAGTCACCACTACAAAAAGTTGAGTTTAGTCAGTTTTCATGAAGAAGAGGAATGTAAATTATCAAGTGACAGATTAGAAGATACTTACCCATTTCTGGTTCAGCAGTAAGATCTGCAGTCACAAAATTAGAAGGAAATAACCCTATGCCTTGATGGGTTTCGCCTTTCCACCAGTTGGGATCACTATGATGAAAAAGAATGCTTCAGTATAACAAATATTTTTATTATTACAAATCTTTATCTTTTTTTATATTTAACTAACACTACTACCAGATTAGAATTTTACAACAATCCAGTGAAGAAGCCAATGAATCTATCTTTATTACAAATAGGAGGTCTCAGAGAAAGTAAAAAGCTATTAAACACAGTTTTTTTTTTCCTTTTTGGATACTAGTGAGTACTTTGAGACTCTAATAAAAAGTTGTGAACTCTCTCCAAAAAAGAGGCCCCCATATTTAAAAACTGTCAGCTTCAGACGGTTCATGGGCTGTAGCTTAAGAACCCTTTGCAATGAGATATAAAGGCTCCTAATTTCAATCTTCATTCCTAAATCATTACTATTTCTAGTACATATTAGCAATTTTTTTTCTCCAAATAGAATGCATATGAAAGATGATACCATTCATAGCACAAAATATCCACAAGGAGTACACTCCTTGGTATCATGTTCACCACTGTATCCCTATTGCCTAGTATATGGAAAGCTGGCAAACACACTAAGTATTTTTTGAAAGAATGATCAAGGTTTTGTGCAATTTCCAACTAACCAGCTCATAAAAACATTAAAATATAAGTCTAAATGTGTCCTCATAAAATTCACATGTTGAAATCCTAAGTCCCAAGGCCACCGCATTAGGAGACAGAGCCTTTGGGCAGTGAATTAGATCTTGAGTAGGATTCATGACCTTATAAAAGAGACCCCAGAGAGTTCATCTGTCCTTCCGGTGGAAAAATGGTCATTGCGAACCATGACCCTTAACAGATATTGAATCTGCTGGTTCCTTGATCTTAGACTTAAGACTCCAGAACTTTGAGAAAAAATTCTGTTGTTTATAAACCACTCAGTCTATGGGATTTGTTATAGAAGCCCAAATGGACCAAGACAGTAAGAGAAATACTATAGGGATAACTTTAAATCAGTTTGAATTCACTTTTAAAAACCACCTGCAGGCTGGGTGGGATGGCTCATGCCTATAATCCCAGCGCTTTGGGAAGCAGGGGTGAGAGGACTGCCTGAGTCCAAGGGTTCGAGACCAGCCTGGACAATTTGGGGAGACTCAATCTCTACAATAAATCAAACAATTAGCTGGGCATGGTGGCATGTGCCTGTGATCCAGATACTTGGAAGACTGAGGTGGAAGGATCTTTGAGTCTAGCAGGTCGAGGCTCAGTAGCTGTGAGCAACTACACTCTAGCCTGGGCAACAGAGTGACATTCTGACTCAAAAAATAAAAAATACCTGCAAATCTTAGCACTGCATTATCAATAACAAGCATCAGTAACAACTCATTTTCAAGTAAAACATCATAAAGTTATAATAGTTTTAACAAACTGATGCACTGTATTACCTCCCCTAGGATATTGCAAATATATAATTCCATATAAAATAAATTTGTTCCACATGGATAAACTATTTTGTGTAAATAAATTCAGTAGATTAAATATGTATTATAAATTCTATAAATGCATATACATACTCAGTTTATTTTCTAAAATCTTAACTTTTTAAATAATTCAACAATCAATATTATTAGATGGAACCAAAAACGAATATATTAAACTGGGCCTCCAAAACAAATAAAATACTATTTGAATAACAGATGAGAAAAAAATTGAACTACAAAATAAAAATCCATACAGTATGATACAAGGAAATTAACCAATCATCATACAGAGAAGATATCTGGTTCAACACTTAACTGAGGTCAACAGGAATATGGTACATACTTTCATATAAATGTTCAATTTAATAGTAACTATTACCTGTCATCAAGAACTGTAATAATTTCTCCAGCTTTAAAAGTGAGTTCATTATCCTCAGCAGCTTCAAAGTCATATATAGCACGAACCTTTCGGCCTTCATGTTGATGGTTAGTTAAGAGATTGGAGGTGCTTGGATACAAAGTGGAAAGAGTGGTTGACTGTTGCCTTTGTTCCTTGAGGGACAATTCAATGGCTGGAAAATAGTGAGTTTTAAAAGACCAAAAATGTTTTCAATAGCGTAGATGGAAACTAGGATATATCCTGATAGACTAAACAAAAACCATTCTGTCAACCACATTCATTAATTCATTCACTCACAACTGAAAGTTAAAAAGTATACACATTACTAGCAAAAGAATTCAATAGAGTAACGGTTATTTTTGCTAAACAATTTTAATTTAAATGATTCTGGGTAAATTTCAAATGTGTCTCCTCTATCTCTACCACTCCTCCTCCAGTGGACATTATCCCCTTGTGTCACTCAGGCTCTGCCATGCAATCTTAATGCACTGATTTTCCTGCTTTCAGCTCAATCCTGTAAACCCCTCTGCCTCTCCACCCTTGTTCTAGATTGACAAAAGAGCTAATATGAAAACAAAACTTTAGAACTATTAGGAGACAATATAGGAAAATATCTTTTAGGACCTTGGAGAAAGGAAAAATATGTTAAAAAAAAAAACACAAAAGTTAAAAATCATAACAGAAAAGCAAGAAATGTTTAATTACCTCAAAATTTAAAACTTCTATATGATAAGACACACCATTATCAAAGTTAAAGTATAAGTTAAAAACCAGGAGTAAATAGCTACAATAGATATAGCAGGTAAAGATTTACAATAAAGACTTCTACATATTATTTTTTTTTAATAGAAAAAGAAAGACAATCCAACTAGGAGAAAATCAGAACAGTCAATAAACATACAAAAAAGGAATCAATCTCACTAATAATCTTGGAAATAAATATTAAAATAATTGAACCTCATTTCAAACCTATCAGATTCAGAAAAATAAACGTTAAAAATATCAAGTGTTGCCAGGAGAGTAAAAATAATAATAGCTTTTATAAGTTGCTGATGGAAGAGGAAGTCATACAAACCTTTTAGCGAAACTGAAGATGTCCCTTTCCCATAATCCAATGTTACTACTTCTAATCACATATAATAGAGAGGGTCATATATACATATACAGAAGGGAACATGTACAAGAATACTCACCAGAGCATTATTTATTATAGTGAAAAAAATCAGAAACAACCCATATGTCCATCAGTAGGAGGCAGAGACAGTATGGTGTATTCATTAGTACACTGGAATATCATATGACAGTTAAAACAGACTTGATTTATAATAGATCTCATGATAAAAGTAAGCTGCAATTGTACCTAGCGTGTCCTATTTGTAAAAAAAGAATTTGCTGGACACAAAAAAGTGCTTGATATTGTTTATGGATATAAAGTATAGTAAAAGTACTATAAAAACATAAACTGAAAAAACACATTTGACAGTAGTTGCCTCTGAAAAAAGAGAAGAAAGAAATGACACTAAGGAGCAAAACAAAGTAGATTTCAGTTTTAGCTGCAAAATCCTATTTCTTTTATTCTTAAGAATCTCAGAGAAAAAAATATTCAGTCACAGGCCTATCTTTTTCCCACCATCAGGGACTTAAAAACGTACCTTTTGCTAAATCTTCTTCTTCTTTTTTGTTAGCCACAGTACCAGGATCCTTGGCTACAAGTGCCGGGCTTGCTTTTGCCTGTTCTGCAGCCTAACACACAAAGAGGAACACGATATTTGAGGTTATTCTCAAATTCTCCTACTCCTAATCTAGTAATTTGTCAGACCTTTCTCATCCATCTACCACAGACTTCTAAAGAAAGAAATCCAAACTGCAGCAGCTCCCACCTTGAAAGGAGAGGGAGAAAAGTCAGAACTGGGGGCAAGGACGGACAGAGCAGACAGTCTCCCAGATTTGTGTAAAGAGGTTAATAAACCACAAGCAGACAGCACACAAATCAGAGAAGAAACACTAGAGGAGATGTGCAAGCTTTTAGAAAAAATTCTAAAGGCAGAAAAGGGGCTGTGAAAGAAAAGGATGTAATTATTTAAAAAGAAATAATTTTTAAAATTTTAAAATATTTATTCAATAGTTATATTTTATTACTTCCTTCTGAATCAAATGTCAGGATGTTATTTATAAGAATTCAGATTTAAATATAATGATATAAATACTCATAAAATCCTAACTTGCAAAGAAAAATACAAGTGGTTAATTCTGACAGCATATCGTATTTTATAAATAAGGCAAGGTACAAATGAAACATATATATATATATGGATTCACACACCCGTAATTGCAAGCTTCTAAGCCTTATGGCCTCCATGTCCTCAGTTTTTGCATAGCATTCAAAGCAAATCAGAATCCAGCCTATCCTACCAGTCACATCTCCAACCACTCTAACAGGTACCAGAAACGGAATGGTTCCTGAGTACTCTAAGTACTAGTACTTCTACACTGCTGACACACATATGCTTCTACTTAAAATGTCCTCCCCCCTCTGGCTCCTTTTGCTTCATTAACTCTTTTTCCCTATCGAATGTGAATTCATCAGTCAGTTAACAGCTAAAATACCACTTTCTCAATGAAACATCCCTAGACCCCTTAACTAAGCATTCTCTCCTCTTTGTTCCCCTGACAACACTTTTAAAGAAGGTACTGTAACATGAGTGGTTAAGAATGCTAGTTGTAGAGTCAAGCAGACATAGGTTCAAATCCCAGATCTGCCAACTTTCCAGCTGTATGACATCGGGTATAGACATTGGGCAACCCCCCTCCCACTGTGGGAACTTTTCTGTCCTCTCAATAAATCCTGCTTTCCAAAAAGAAAGAAAGAAAGAAACCTCTTTGTCCTTCAAATTCCTCATCAGTAAAATGAGGATAATAATAGCACCTACACACACCTCATGGGCACCTCACAGTCTATTGAGAGGACTAAACTAATACATGTAGCTTTCAAAATGGAGTCCATTCAGGGATTAAACAAAGTATAACATTAACTCCAGGGTTATAATGTACGTAGAGGTAATACACATGACTACTACAGCATTACTGCTGAGGTGGGAAGTAAATGGACTTACACAGTTGCAAGGTTTCTATATTTTACATCGAATATTAACTCAAAGTAGTTTTGAAGAATTACAAATGTAATTCTTGTAGTTTCCAGAGTAACCAATTAAAAAAAAATGGAATTCTTAAAAATATTCAAATTATCACATAATTAACACTTGAAATAGTGGCTGACACAGAGAAACAGACAGTAAGTCTCAGCTTCTATCCTAATTATCTGATTATATGTCTGTCTCCACAACCAGACTGTGTGTTCCCTCAAGAAAAGTGCCAAAATATCATTAGCAATAAATGTGTGTTAAATGTATGGAAGGCAAAATATTCAAAATTATAGTAAAATACAGTCCTGTATTCTTCACTTACTGTACTGCATGTTGTCAAAAGCACAGGCATTTATTTTTAGAAAAGCTAATAAGAAAAGTTTTTTGAAATTCACTGAATACAACTTAAAACACTTAATTCTGGTCAGTCACTAGTTGTAATCTTTTCCATATATTTTACTATGATACACTTCTGAAAATTGAAAGTATGCTTAGCCAGAAACAACCTTTATCATTTATATAAATTTTTGTTCACAATTGGGTGAACTTCACAATTGGATATATTGACCTTTTGTGTTCTGTGGAGGAATATCTATCAGTTGAGAAGGAACCACAGAAACAAGCTACATTAGGTCCTATATTTCTGAATCACACTTTTCAAAGTTCTTTAATATCATCAGACTCTCAGTATAACAATGACACTTGTCTTATTAACTAGTCAAATACAGTAGCAGTGCTAGTCTGACTTATACCTCAACATGAATAGTCAGTGCTAACAGAATTGCATCAGCATGAGTTAGGTGACTGAAGAATGACAATATTTTTACATTATTCTCTTCTATACTTGGATGAAAAAATACACTTAGAAAAATCTTTCTATTTTCAGGGGCTTTTGTTAAGTATGTCCTAACCAAAACTGAGTGTGATGAAAATGAAGTGATGTCTTAACTAAGTGGGTTTAAAATCTAGACGGAGTTCTACAATTGAACCTATATGATTTATTTTTTTCATAAAGGGTTTAATGAAAGAAAAATACATTAAAAATTACATATAGGTTTTGGATGATAAGCTTTTCAGAAATCACTAAAAGAAAATCATTCCATTTGTTTTACTTTAGGTACATTTTATATATTTCCTATAGCTGAAAGGCAGCAACTATAGCAGGATTAGCTTTTGCATATTTTATAACATCTAGATCAAAAGAAGAAACATAAGACTTGTCTTCACTACTGCTCTTCTAAGTATTGAACCTTTTGAACAAGAGAATAATGTAATTTCTCTACCAATCAAGACATGATGCTCTTGCCAGTGTTCACGCCACTTCTTGTCCTTCAAAGTCTAGTTTAGGCAGACACATATCCACTAATCTCTATATCAAATGGAAGGCAGGCTCAGGTAGTAAAAAGAACATCGGATTGAAAGTCATCATGCCTGTATTCAAGTTCCAGCTCTGTCAACTACTAGATGTGGCCCTGGACAAGTCACTTAACCATTCTGATTCTCAGTTTCCTCATCTGTCGCATGACCAGATTAGACGAGAAGATCTCTAAATTATTCCCACAGCGACCTGGGATTCTAGATTAACCAAACAGGACTACATATGGAACAAATCATTAATTTTTCTTCCTTCTCTTTTAACAGTAAGTCTCTTTGTGGCCTGAAGTGTAGTTTTTTGTGCCCTGGGAGCTGTACTTTAGAGCAGTCTTTTTCAGACTTCCATGTGCATACAGAATCATCCTGTTAAAATGAAGAAAATAAATCCACAGGTCTGAATTGTGGCACCTAAGATGCTGCATTTTTAACAAGTTTCCTGGTGATGCTAATGATGCTGACCGATAAACCACACTTTGAGTGAAGAGTTCAAGAACAGGTATAGAATTGTACAATTCCACTAAGCATCTACATATATTCTTTGGTTCTCTGCAGTGAGTCTGCTTCAACAAACAGACACTGTTTCTGTTGCCAAGGAATTTATAATATATTGGATTATTCTACGTAAAATTAGTACTTAACTACACAGATTCCAGACATTATTTTGAGAGTAGTAAAAGCCAACTCAATTATGAATACTTCTAATTTATCCTTGTAAAACTAATCATAAAGAAAATTTTTTTCAACCAAGAAGAAAAAAATATCCTTTGCTTCCTTTCTCTCCCAGATATATTTTTGGATTCACATCTCAAGAGCACTCAGATAAGCTGGCAATGCCTTGGGAAGAAAGTCTAGATAGGTCTAGATGAATGTAGATAATCTACATGATGACTCCTTGAAATGGTCAAAGCCTGAACATAAGCCCTCCACACTGAGAGTTTTCTGTTCATATTTTGCACCTCTTATTATAATCTGCCCCAATCCACACAGTGGGGAAAGACAGTGTAGTAAACTACCACAAATGTTAAGCCCTGTGATTAGCTGGGCATCCTAAATGATGGTTAACAAGTAGCAAAATAATCTTTTTTTAAAACTCCTTTTTTTTCCAGTATGACATAAATTAGATTGTTCTTTTTTTTTTTCTTTTTGGAAGAGGAAAGTTAAATCTTTCAATCATACCTACTGGGGAAAGAAAGAAGACTTATGTACCAGTCAGCTCTTAGTAAGAAAAACGGTCTTTATGTACTTCTCCTCCCATTCACTCCTTGCATCTCCTTCCTATTTTTAATACAGGTATTCATACATTTCCTAATTAAAAGAACCTCTACACTCACCCCTAAATTTTAAAAGTATCCTGATTTTTGAGCTGTCATTCTTTGTGGATAAAATTATAGCATTAAAAGCATTTATTTAATAATGTTTTGGTGTTACTGATTTAATAAAGCTATTTTATCTATTTCATTAAAAGTGTATAAAAAATTTTAAACTGCAAAATAGTAAACCAATTCATTTATAAACAAGTAGAGACAATGCAAAGTGGAGACTGACGCATATTAATATTCCATTACAATATTTTTCTGTCATCTTTGAGTGTACACCTAGTATTATTAACAAAAATTACTCTGAAGTACTAAAAATTACCTGAAGAAAAATGAAAATTCAAATAAACATAGCTATTTTAGAGAAACGAAACACAGCACACACAACTTTACAAGATACCTGAGAGCCAATAGCTGGGAATGTAACTCCTTGTTCCTTAAGGTTCTTAATCATTGCTGATATTAAACTAAGCTGCGGATCGTTCTTAAATTCATCTGTCCATTCAACCATAAGAGCCTTTAATTTTTCACAAACTTTAGGATGACCCTATAAAATAGAGGGAAAAAACTAATGAAAAGACACCAATTTCCTGGGTAATGATTTAAAATAGACACATAAAATACAAAAAAGTACAAAGTGCTACAGATATTTTTTTGAATCACAAGTTAACCCCAGCTATAGACAAATAAGAAAACATAGTTGGTTACTAGAAATAAAGTAATGTTATAGTCACACTATGAAAAAACATAGACGATACCATTATATATATCTCTCTCTCACTTGAGAATCAAAACGTTAAATATGTAATAACTTATTTTGGAGATCAAAAAGACAATTTTTCAGAGTATTTTGCAACTAGGCAAATTTTTTATGTTAGGAAGTCAAGAAAGTAGTGAACTTTGTTTTGCTTTTTGCAGATCAATAAAAAAAGTTGAAAGGAGAGAATAAATAATAGTTTCTTAATTCCTGACTTTTTAATGTTCATGATTTTGTACTTTTTCCCTGATGCTTAATTATCTGAGGTCTAGTATGAGGTACATTGCATGTTAAGCATCTTGCAAACTTCACTTTGTCAAAATAATATCCTTCCTTTAAGTATAAAAACCAATATGTTCATTGTGAAACACTTAGAAAATTAAGAGAAGTCCTCTCTACTATACGTAGTTGTTTTTCAAAAGTTGTTTACACTACTACATACAAGTCTGTATGCTACATCTTCACTTAAATTATAGAAAATAGGTTAGAATTCCTTCACAAGCAGTTGTACATCTTAAAGGACATTCAAGACAATGTTTCTTAATTAATAGATAATAACTAAATATAACTGAATAAAGCCAAAGAAGAAGAGAATTAGCACACAACCATAATGCTTGAAAAATACAGAACTTTAAAATCTTATCACATTTCTTCATTGTTTTGTACTATAACCTGGAACTACTTATTTACTCCCAAAACACACGAGGTATTTTCCCTCTTAACATCTGAAAAATTTTTTGATGTAGAACACTCTCTCCAAAAAAGTCAGAAACAATCACACCTTTAGAATACACAAATTTTTACTAGACAAGCTCACATAATACTTACTGATCTAAATTTTTTAAATACCTTAAATTGTGTGACTTGAATTCTTTATTTCACGTGCATTAAGTAGGCAATTGTAGACTTGGTTCCTCCCTTTCTGTGTCCTGATCCAGTGCCTTGACCTACTCTGTGGCCCAGCCAGCTGCATGGCTAAGGCTGGAACCCAAGATGGGTCCTCAAACATTCCCAGGCACTGATAAAGTTGTCCAGGTTGTCGCCCAAAACACTAAATGATCAATGCTGCTAAACACGTAGAAACCAGTTCCAAAGCTGAACCAAATTATTTAAGTCCTCATAACAACTTCATAACCCAACCCCATCATCACAGACACACCTGAAAGAACATCTCTTTTCTTACTGTCCCTCAGGAGGACACTGCACCCTCTGTATGTAAGTTTCCCTAATAAATGCTTTGGACTGATCACTCTGGGCTTTAGTGCTGCTTCTATTTTTTTTTTTCTTTTTTGGAATCCCAACTGGCCCCATCTGCGACTGCTTAGAGAAGTCTCTCGTGGAGAACTTCCCTGTCTCTACTTTTGGGGCAACTCTAGCTGTGGGTTCTGCCAGTAAGAACAGCAGTACCATATTAAAACTCTGTGAAGGCCAGGTTGTGACTTTATTCATAACAAGATGAAAACCTAGCAGGGCCTTGTACCTTTAGTGGTATTTCTGAAGGGTTTTTACATTAGGAAAATACCTCTGTAGCTACAAAAACAGTTACAAAAACTGTACCTAAATAGACTGGCATTATTTAATTAGATACAGAAACACATGGCTTCTATCAGATGAAAGGCATGAAGATAAAAAGGCTAAACAAACTCTAGTATGACTGGAAAAATTCAACTCTCAGAGTTATGTGATATACTATAGTTTCTTTAGCAAAATATAACATTTACTTATATATTGGATAGATATAGCCTAGACAGAGTTAAACAAAACACAGAATAGTCCTTTGTTACTTAAAATATGAAGACTTAATAAAATACACAATGAAAGAAGACTGTCTTAATTAATTTCTGGAAATAATGTTCCTTACCTTATTTAATACGTTGCTTACTTCACTAGCAAAATCTCTTGAACATACTTCTAAATGAAAAATTTTGCCACAGTTTGATACACATGCTCCTAGAAGCTAAAAGCATAAAACCAGAAGTTAAAAGGGCTCAATTCTGGCAGACACTCTCGTGGTACAGCTTAGGATGAAACCACTTACAGTCAAAGCTTGCATAGCAACATGAGGATCTTTATGGTTCACCCTCCTCATAATAGACCGAAGACAATCTTTAGGTCTAAAAGATAAGAAAAGTAACAATTGATTAATAACATATCCAGTTTTTTCTTCTTTAACTGTCATAGGCAACAGATTACCATATAAAAGGGAGAATAAGGTAGGGAAGTTTAATTTTTTATTAATGACACGGTTGAAAAACTGTACAATAAGTAAGTCCTTTATATTTTTCTAACAAAATTAACAGGCTCTCTTACTTAGCAAACAAAGATTAGATTAGGCATTTTAGGCTAATTCTGGGGAACAAAAAGTTTTGAAAATAAAATTGTAGGCTAAGGCTTTCGCTTCCAACCAATTAATGAACCAGAATTATTATGTTCCTGCTGTAAACAATTAGAAGACTGAAAGATTATTTTTATATATATATATATATATATATATATATATATATATACTTTTTTTTTTTTGAGTTGGAGTTTTACTCTGTCGCCCAGACTGGAGTGCAGTGGCCGCTCCGCTCCCGGCCAGCGCAGCCTCGACCTGCTGGGCTCCGGCCATCCTTCTGCCTCAGCCTTCCAAGTAGCTGGAACTTCGGGCGCGCGCTACCACGCCTGGTTAATTTTTGATTTATTGAGATGAGGTCTCGCCAAGTTGCCCAGGCGGGTCTCGAACCTGCGGGCTCAGGCAATCCACTCACATCAGCCTCCCAAAGGCGCGGGATTACAGGCTGAGCCACCGAGCCCGGCTAAAGAATATATTTAAAATACACTTTTTGAGGTAACTATTTGGGAATGTTAGGACACAGTCAGTACTAAATGACCCGTAAGAAGGATAACAAACTAAGCCAGAAGTTTGCCTCAACTTTTTTCCTAGAGGCACTTTCCAAATATCAGTGCAGACGTGCTGCCTGCAGGTTCTAGATCTCAGTGCAAGGAACATGAACCCACAAAGAGTTCAGTGATCTCACGTTAGAGCAGAAGAGAATCAGAATTCAGGGAGGCTAAGGGACCTAGAATATGTAGGACACAGTAGAAGGTGCTATGAAGGAAGAGGTCAATAACTGCACAGAAGTCCATTAGGTATGTTGTGGAAAAAGTCACACATGTATAGATGAACAACTCCATGAAACTGGGCAAAAAGTGACCAAGAGTCCCCAAAGCTGAAACACTTGTCAGAGCTCAAACTAAATTGGAGATTCCTAGTTGAAAATTCAGGGCATTCAGTGGATACTTCAGAAAGATTGGGTCCTAGCAACGCAGCTAAATTATGCTTAAAGTTACCCTATTAACAACTTAAAAATAAGCCACAATAATACAATATTGTATCAACTTCTGAAACAAAAAAGTCCAATACTCTAACAGGAATGCAACAAAACTTGATGTTCAACAATGTAATATTCAAAATCCAAAGCATTCAATCAAAATTTACTAGACATAGCATGAAGAAGGCAATGGAGACATATAACTAGAAGAAAATTCAGTCAACTGAAAATGCAGAAATAACAAAAATAATGGCATTAACAGTCAAGGACTTAATATAACCTACATCAAATATGTTAAAAATCATCAACATAACAAGGAAAGAAATGGTATATCAAAAACAACCAGATAAAACTCCAGAGATAAAAATTATCTAAAATAAAAAATTAACTGGATGAAATTAACTAGATAAGAATGAAAGACCAGTAAACTTAAAAACACACACAAGTATCTGAACTAGAGAGGAAAAAAAGACCAAAAAAAAATTAACAAAGGGTCACAACTACAATTATTTTAAAAAGAGAAACGAAAATAAAACAAACCATAAAAATACTTACCTAATACATAAAAGACAAATAGAAATAAAGAAAAAACAAACAGAAGGAACAGATGCAAATGATCTAGAAAAGTGGCAGATTAAGATTTTAATCCAACCATATGAATACCTAGCTTCAGTAGTTTTCAGAACAAGGGATACTAACAGGGACAAAGAGAGATATTATGTAAAGGATGTAAGTCCTCCAAGAAAGCATAATCCTAAATGTATTATACATGTACCAATAAAACGTAAATATATGTAAAGAAAACAGTGGTAGAGCTGAAAGGAAAAACAGACAAATCTACTGCAATACCTCTCAGTAATTTGATAATGCACACGCACACAAAATATGAATACGGTGTACTTCAACAACTCTATCAAGCAAGTTGATCTTTATGATATTTTAGAACAACCCACCTACTCATGGCATAACACACGTAGTTTTTTTCCAACGAAATAGGCCACATTCTGAGCTATCAAATAAACGCTGACAAATTTAAAAAAAACTAAAAGCCACACAAAGTACATTCTTTGACCACAACAGAATTAAACCACAAATTGATACAAAATGACAGCAGGAAAATCCCCACATATTTGGAAATTCAATATATTTAACACTTACGTCAAATGAAATCAGAAAACCATAATTTACTTAAGGCCATGAAAATGAAAGCACATTACCAAGTACTTTATATATTTATATATATATATTAGTAGCTGCTGTATTCATAAAAGCCAAAAACTGTACACAATTCAAATGTCCATCAATAGATGAATGGATAAATTGTAATTTATTAATACAATGTAATTACCTCTCAGCAATAAACAGAACTACTGATACACACAAAAATTTGAAGTCATCTTAGAAGCATATTTGGTGCTAGGTACAAGAGTACTTACTACACAATTTCATTTTATAAAATTCTAGAAAATAAAAATTTAGTCAGAGTGCAAAAAATATATATGCATATTTTAAGAAAGGAAAAAAACTGTATTAAAATTATAATACTCAATATATGCCAATATCATATGACTACAAGTTATGTGTGACTTCTGCAATTACACACATTGCTACCATAATTCAATTCAACTTCAAAAAGGAATACATAGATAACATCGTTTAAAATGTGTATACATTTTTTTGGCACCCCTGGTATAATGACAATACCTATTAGTAGTTGTCTATGACGGAAGGAACTTTTGGGAGTGATTAAGTCCTCTTGACCTTGATTGGTGTGGTGTTTATATAGGTTTACGTATTTGCCAAAACTCATTAAACTATCAAAACATACACTTCCAAGGGATGCATTTTATTGTAGATAAATCAAACCTCAGTAAAAACAGTCTTCTTAGTGGTAGACCAAGCATGTGGCAAGCATGCATTTCACTGGGATGCTATAAAATAGTCAACAACAATGGTAATGCAAAGTGACTACAACCTATAAAACACCTATGTGTTTAGGTTCCCAACAATTATATAATAAGCAAGGAATTAATTCAGTGTTCAAAACATTCATAGTAAACTTAGTCTTAGAGAAGTCCAGTTCCTTGCCCATGATACAAGTTACCAGGTAGTTAAGTAACAGGCACTAACAAGATTCAAACTTGATCGCTCTAAACACTCTATGTTCTGACCATAGATCTGCCCTCCAATGAATTAACATAAACAGGGAGCACTTTATATAAATCAAAAGAAGACAGTCTCAAAATATTAAATCATCAATTACAATGATATATATTTTACTCTAACATACAAAATATTATCAAATCTGTTATGTCAACAAAAATAGCACAATACATTCTTCGCAAGTGCACAAGGAACACTACACAGAATAAACAATGTGTTAAGCCATACAAGTCCCTACAGATTTTAAAAGATAACAATCATAGAAACATGTTCTCCAAACACAACAAAGTTAGAAATTGATAACCAAGAAATTTAAGAAAATAAAATATGTAAAAATTAAACAATATACTCCTAAATAACCAAAGGGTCAAAGAAAAAAAATTCACAAGGGAAGTTAGAAAATATTTTGAAATAAATGAAAAGGAAAACATAACAAAGCTTATGGGATGCAGTAAAAATAGTACTTAAAAGACAATTTATACCTCTAAGCACCTATGTTAAACACACACACACACACACACACACACACACACACACACACACACATACATTCAATATTCCCTTACATTCATCAGGATGGCTTCTACCAAAACAAAAAAAACAAAAAACAAACTAATAACTGTTGACAAGGATGCAGAAATTGGAAGACTTGTACACTGCTTTTGGGAATGTAAATGGTACAGATGGGGTGGAAAACAGTATGGTGGCTCTTCAAATAATTAAAAATAGAATTACCATATGATCCAGCAATTCCACTTCTGGGTATATATCCCAAAGAATTATAGCAGGGTCTTGAAGAGACAGTTGTATACCCAGGTTCATAGCATCATTTCTTAATAGCTAAAAAGTGGAAGTAACCCAAGTATCCATCAACAAATGAATAAGCAAAATGTGTTATGTACATTTATGGAATACTATTCAGCCTTAAAAAAAAAAAAAGAAAATTCGGACATATGTTATCCTGATAATCCCTGAAGACATTATGCTAAATGAAATAAGCCAATCATAAAAAGACAAATATTGTATGATGCCTTTTATATGAAGTACTAAAAGTAGTTAAAGTCATAAAGACAGAAAGTAGAATGGTAGTTGCCAGTGGTTATGAGGAGGACGGAAAGGGGAGTTATTGTTTAATGGGTACAGAGTGTCTGTTTTACAAGATGAAAAGAGTTCTGAAGACAGTCGGTGATGGCTGTATATTACGAATGCATTTTTTTTTTTTTGAGTTGGAGTCACACTCTATCACCCAGACTATAGTGCAGTGGCCACTCCCAGCCACTGCAGCCTCTACCCGCTGGGCTCCGGCGATCCTTCGGCCTCAGCCTTCCAAGTAGCTGGAACTACAGGTGTGCGCTACCACACCAGGCTAATTTTTTTTGATTTACTGTAGAGATGAGGTCTCGCCAAGTTGCCCAGGAGGGTCTCGAACCCGCGGGCTCAGGCAATCCACTCACCTCAGCCTCCCAAAGAGCGGGATTACAGGCTGAGCCACAGAGCCCAGCTATGAATGCATTTAATATCACTGAACTGTACATTTAAAAACAATTAAGATGGCAAATTCTGTGTTCTGTGTATTTTAATACACTCTACAGAATTGAGGGAAAAAAGATCTCAAATCAGCCTTAACTTTCACCTGAAGAAATCAGAAAAAGTAAACTAAGCCCAAAGAAAGCAGAGCAGAAGGAAGAAAATAGTAAAGACTAGGGAGGAGATAAATGAAATAAAAAGTAAGAAAAAATGGTGAAAAATCAATAAAACAAAAAGTTGGTTAAAAAGATCAACAAAACAATTAGACTGACCAAGAAAGAAGACTCAAATTAATAAGACCAGAAAAGGAAACATTACTCCCAACCTTACTGAATTAAAAAGGATTAAAAAATCACTATGAACAATTTTACACCAACAAATTAGACAACTTAGATAAAACAGACAAATTCCAACAAAAACAAACTACAGAACCTGACTCAGGAAGAAACAGAAACGCTCAACAGATCCGTAAGTAAAAAGACTAAATTACTAATCACGAAAACTTTCCCCAAAGAAAATCACCAGGCTTCAATGGTGAATTCTACCAAATGTTTAAAGAATTAACATCAATTCTTTACAAAAGAAAAATATATATAAATTTAACTTCAAAACTAAAAACTTTTGAGCATTAAAGGACACTACTAATAATGAAAAGTCAACCCACAGAATGGGAGAAAATATTCCCAAATCATATGTATGATAAGGGATTAATATCTAAAATATATAAGAACTCCTACATCTCAATAACAACAAACAGCATAATTCAAAAACAGGCAAAGGACTTGAACACATACTTCTTCAAAGAAGATACACAAATGGTCAATAAACTAAAAGTTGCTCGGCATCACTAATCATCAGTGAAATGCAAATCAAAACCACACTGAGATAACACTTCACATTCACTAAAATGGCTATTTTTGTTTTTTATTTATTTATTTTTTTGAGTCAGAGTCTCATTCTGTTGCCCAGGTTGGAGTGTAGTGGCACAATCACTGCTCACCACAGCCTCCACCTCCTGGGATCAGGAGATCCTTCTACCTCAGCCTCCTGAATAACTGGGACTACAGGCGCAGGCCACCATGCCCAGCTGTATTTTTTAATGTTTTGTAGAGAAGAGGTCTCACTATGTTACCCAGGGTAGTCTCAAATTCTGGGTTCAAGCGATCCTCCTGCCTCAGTCTCCCAAATTGCTGGGATCATAGGCATGAGCCACTGTGCCTGGCTTATTTTTATTTTTTAAAAAGGAAAATACCAAGTTTTAGTGGAAACGTGGTGAAACTGGAATCCTGTGCATTGCCAGTGGGAATGTAAAATGGTGTTGCCCCTGTGAAAAAGTATGGCAGCTCCTCAAAAGATTAAACATAAAGTTATCACACATTCCACCACGGACTATAACAGATATCTGTACTCTTATGTTCAGAGCAGCATTATTCACAACAGCCAAGTGTCCAGAACAGAACAAAGGTCAAATAAAATATGCCATATACATACAATGGAAAATTATTCACACTTAAGGAATTTCTGACACATGCCACAAGATGGATGGACCTTGAAAACATTATGCTAAGTGAAATCACCCAGACATAAACAAAAAAATATTCCATGAGTCGACGTATATGAGGTACCGGGAATAGACAAATTTATAAAGAGAGAAAGTAGAAAATAAGTTACTAGTTGACAGGAGGGTAAATTAAGAGTTATTATTTAACAGGCCAGAGTTTCTGTTTGGGATGATGAAAAAGTTCTGCAAATGGATAATGGTGTTGATTGCAAAATACTGTGAATGCACTGAATGCCACTGAATTGTAAAATGATTAAAATGGTAAATTTTATGTTACGTATATTTTAATAACACTAAAACAAACAAACTCTGAAGTTTTGCTACAACATAGGGAAACTTTGAAAATATTATACTACATGAAGGAAGCTGGTCACAAAAAATACATACTGCTCCAATACACATAAACTTTATTTATATGAAATGTCTAGAATAGGCAAATCTGCAGAGATAGAAAGTAGATTAGTGGTTGTCAGGAAAGAGGAGAGTTGGGAATGGGAGTAACTACTGAGTTCAGGTTTCTTTTTGAGGTGACAAATATTCTGGAATAAGATAGTAGTGATGGCTGCACAAGTTTCTGAATATAGTAAAAACCATAGACTTATACAGTCTAAAATGATGAATTTTATGGCACATATATTTTTAACATTTACATATATCATATATTTATTAAAGAAGAAAAATTTATCAAGTAATTTGAACTTCAACGAGTTCTAAAAATCATGTCCAGTAAGAATAATTATCTAAAAAATTTTAAGAATTGAAAATACAACTACTAAATACTGTAATAAATACAAAAACATTATTTTTAATAACTACAAGAAAAAATTAGAATGAAATTCTAGTTACTGTTCTTAAGGATGTTCAATTGCCTTTTAGGAAGTTTTCCACCTAAAGAGCATAGTGAAAGAAGAAAAAGTTAAACAAAAGTAATATTTATTAGATGGGCACAGTGGCTAATGCCTGTAATCCCAGTATTTTGGGAAGTGAAGGCAAGAGGATTGCCTGAACCCAGGGGGTTCGAGACCAGCCTGGGCAACATGGCGTGACTTCATCTCTTAAATAAATAAATAAATAGCTGGGCATAGTGACATACAATTGTATTTCCAGCTACTTGGAAGGTTGAGACAGAAGGATCACTTGAGATCAGCAGGTCAAGGATGCGGTAGCTGTGAACGTGCCACCACACTCCAGCCTGGGAAACAGATTGAGAGACTTCGACTCAAAAATAAAAAGGTAATATTTATTGAAAGTCTATCATGTGTCAAGCATTTTCAATTTTTTTTTTTTATTTGTTTATTTGAGTCGAAGTCTCACTCTGTGGCTCAGGCTGGAGTACAATGGCACGATCATGGCTCACTGTAGCCTTGACCTCCGAGGGCCCAAGTGAACCTCTTACCTCAGCTTCCCAAGTAGTTGGGACTACAGGCATCCACAACCACACCCGGCTAATTTTTTTTTTTTTAAGGGCCATGCTAGGTTGCCCAGGCTGGTCTGGAACTCCTGGCTTCAAGTAATCCTCTACAGGAATGACCCACCATGCCCAGTCAAGCAGTCAACTTTTTTTATCCTAAAATTCTTTTTTCCTCTACCTTACCAAAGATAGCAGCATTATTAGACTGAAAAAATAATGTATTTCAAAACTACAATCTTATAGTGTTTTGGCCTTTTCACAGTTAGATTTAATCTGTGATCCCACACTAATTTTTGCAGTTGTGAAAACCATGCTGTCACATAAAAACACAAAATCATCATTTCAAAATACTGGTAAAATAAGTAGCTCAGCCTGTAATCCCAGCGCTTTGGGAGGCTGAGGTGAGTGGATTGCCTGAGCCCACGGGTTCGAGACCTGCCTGGGCAGTTGAGACCTCATCTCTACAATAAATTTTTTAAAAATTAGCTGGGCGTGGTAGCGCGTAGTTCCTGTAGTAGCCTGTAGTTCCAGCTACTGGAAGGCTGAGGTGGAAGGATCGCCAGAGCCCAGCAGGTCGAGGCTGTGGTGGCCAGGAGTGGCCACTGCACTCCAGTCTGGGTGACTGAGTGAGACTCCAACTCAAAAAAAAAAGAAAAAATCATAAAAAATAGCAGTCCAAAGATGATTCAGCTCAATAAATCAATATTTTAGAAAATAATACTCTATACTTGCTTTGCCACCAAATTTTAAAATAAAAATTCTCATGTATTTTGTTTATGAACTACTTTCTTGCTTCTTAGGGTAAGAAATCTAAACTGTAATGATTTTTGGAAACAGTGCTGGAGAATGGGGCTTTGAGATGGAACTATTACTTTTTATTTCACACATTTCTATATTGTTTGGGTGTTTTACCACAGCCAATTTTAAAAACTAAGGCAAAGATAACTCTGGCACCCAAACAAGTTTGGCTATTGCATCATAAAAGAAGCAGAGCTGCAAAGCCAGTTAGAATGCCTGTAAGTGCTGATGAACACTTTATGTATGCCAACACAGCAATATCTTTTGAGATATAAGCTAAAAAAATCCCTTCAGAGTTGTGTATAAAACTGACATTAGTCAACAACAGAACTCACCCAAAAAATCGAGTATCAACTGTCTTATTCAGATCTATGCATTTTTTTCAACTCAGTTTTTCAATATTTCCACAAGTAAAACTAGTTTTTCTAATATATAAATAAATATAATTTCTAAACATTACAATTTAATGAAAAGTATGATTAAATTTTTTTTAAGTTTAAATGAATTTTAAGTGACTTTAAAGTGAGTAGACTATGGCTATTA